TATATATATATATATATATATATATATATATATATATATATATATATATATATATATATATATATATATGACCGGAACATTGTCCCACATTACAAATTTTAGTACTTATTTGGGTATTATGCATATCTTTCAACATGCTATATTATATAGAATATAATTTTATGCATATCTTTCAACATGCTATATTATATAGAATATAATTTTCAAAATATGAATATTTTATATATCATAAACAGATTACAACTTTCCACTAATAATTTTCTACAATGACTAATTATTATTATTTATTATCTCTCTATAATTAGTACAAAGAAACTGGTGAATAGACACAAAATAAAACTTAATCAGAATTAAAAAATAAAACTTAATCAGAATTAAAAAAAAAACTAAAATTTAATAATAACTGTATACTATCCTTATAATACTGACAAATAAAGATATTAAAATATCTCTTATACATCCAAGGTAAATCACAAATTAATTTATCACAATATAATCTTCCATTATTCTTTCAACATGTTCTATTTTAAAAATAATTAAGTTACGAGAGATTTTTTTTTAATTATGAGAAAAATGGTGACAAGTTCTTAAAGAAGTTAAAATGACTCCATTGAGCATTCTAGAGTTAAAAATAATAAAAGAACTGTTTAATTATTTATCTTATATTCCACATGTAAATGTAATAGATAATAGACATACGGATATATCAGTAGCATTTATGCAACAAGAGAATGGCACTCCACAACGTTCTACACTAGGACTAGTGCAATTGAAATATTCATTCTTTCCCCAGTCCAGATATCCTTCTTGACTCAAACCACAACATCTAAACTGTAAGAAAAAATTTCACAGATATTAGCACATATATATATATATATATATATATATATATATATATATATATATATATATATATATATATATATATATATATATTATATATATAATTCAACATATTATTTAATTATTCCAAGTCTCAAACTTCTTGTTCTTACTTCTTGTTGCCCGAAATCGATGAAATTTTGTAGATCTGGATCTTCTCTATATGTTTGAATTATTTTGTCAGTAAATGATTCTTCCAAGAGAGACTGCAATGTATGTGGAAATACAAAACCAACTACCGCCACACCCATTTCCAAAAGAAAAAATACCAGAAGACATAGTGAATACTGAAAGTTATTCAATTAATCAATATAATGCTTTATATTGATAGTAAAGATATATTTTTATATGCAAAACTAACAAACTTAAGAAGGCATGTATTCTCACGAAGAGCTCCTACACATCCTGCAAAACTAACAACAAAGACCACTCCACCTGCTATCAGCATCACTAAAGAAATATTCAAGACCACATCATAAACATTCTCTACTCTGACAGACCCAGTTGCTTGCCACTTATCCACAAATGCATAGAGACCTACACCAATTAGCAATCCTCCAAACAGCTAGACAAAAAAATTTTTTACTATGTTATTGTATGAAACATTTGTATGAAACAATGTGCTATTAAGATCAATATTATTTTTAATTTTAATATCTTGTTTTTTGTTTTATCTCCAAAAAGAAAATATAACAGAACATAACTATAACTACTGTAGTTATAGTTTAGAGGAATTAGTAGAGTGGCATAGATGTGGCTGTTACATTTCATTCTATTGTAAACAGCGAACTGTAAATATAGTAATATAATTTTGCTTACCCAAAAGACGAAATTCAGCATGAAAATCATGTATTTCACGCACGAACTGACATACGTAAAGTTGTTGCCTCGCCTACGATTATGCATCATTGTGCCGTACTAAAGCCTCAACAGGCTTTTCACAAGTACTTATAACACTATCTATAACACGAATAATTGTGCCCACGATACCACCTTGAAATACAAAAGTCGAAATACAACCGTTTGTTATTCAAATGAACCAAATTCAATTCATGACAATAGAATACAAATGATACCAATATAGTATATTTTGACAACTATTACCAAAGAGAAGCCTGAGAGCAGTTATCATAGGAAAGTGGGTGACTGTTCTGATGCGCCTCTTGAGAAAATGGATGTCAACTACGTCGATTACGCTCGGTAACAATACATGCGTTTGTGATATGGTTCGTATCCGGACTACTGGACTGCGTTTCAAAATTCTACTCGATGAGTAGGGTACATTTAATTGGCCAATCATGATAAAAAAATTCTAGTTATCTTTATTCTTATTGGTCAATTAAATGCTACTCTACCCATCGAGTAGAGTTTTGAAACGCAGCCCTGTGCTAGAATTCTGTAATGGCTCCTGCACACAGGACGCGGTAATGCTTGCTGCGCGGTGGAAATCCGCGCGACAGCCAATCAATATGTTGTTTTTCCGTAAGAGCTAGAAGGTTATTACGAAAAGCAGCATATTGATTAGCTGTCGCGCGAACTTCCGCCGCGCGGCAAGCATTACCGCGTCCTGTATGCAGGGAGACGATTCTGTATCTCGAAACGAAGTGAAAATTACAAAAGTGAGCAAATATACTAGAATATTCGTAATTTCATTGGTCGGTGTCTAGTGAATGTGCTCACTTTTGTAATTTTCATTTTGTTTCAAGATATAGAATTGACTCTCAGGAGCTATAAGGGTACTATTTCACGTGTCGTACGACAAGCTTTTCGAATACGCTTATTGGTTGGCGAATAGAGTATTTCTAGGTTCTCTGTTTGTCAACCAATGAACGTCCAAAAAGCTTGTCGTACGACACGTGAATATTAGCCTAATGGCTTCTGCACACAAAACGCGGTAATGCTTGCTGCGCGGCGGAAGTTCACGCGACAGCCAATCAATATGCTGTTTTCCGTAATAACCTTCTAGCTCTTATGAAAAAACAACATATTGGGTGTTTACGATAAGTTGTCGGATTGGAAATCCGACTAAACAGTGGTACACAATCGACCCATTTCAAAAAATTCCCTAACTTAATCAGATTTTAGTAAAAACTGTCTCAGCAGTAATCGGATTAGCTTCATAGCGACGTGAGGTGATACTTTGTCCTCAAGAGAAATAAAAAGATAAAAGTTGGTACGTACGTAATTATTATTCTAATGATTAGCGCATATTATTTTCCTTATATATCAATATATGAATAAATGATCTGTTACACTTTTACTGATATTAAATTAATGAAAAGAAGTATTAGTAATCTCACGTGTAGTAAACATTAACCTATAATAATATTGGATTTATGTTATAATTTCGTGGGTGTATATCAGTTGGACACGGGGCAATTGGACACAGTCCAATCACAAGTCGCTGTTCCAAGGGACCCTACAAATGTCTCTAATCACACGGTGTTGTGATTGGCTATGTCCAAATGCACCGTGTCCAAGTGCACCGCTCCCTAATTTCGTAATAAAATAAGAACAGTATAAAATCTGTCAAATTAACATTTCAAACATACTAATTTTAAAATATATTAGGCATTTATGCATTTATATATAAATACATATAAATATGTGTGCTTGTATATGTGTATGTTCATATGTGTAATCTATAATTATTTACACACTTATATTTTTATATAAAAAGAATATTTATATTTTTATAGATTGTGTA